TCTTTCCCCTTGGCTATTTAGCCTGGTGAAATATTGGTATAATGGTGTGAGTTAATTACATATTAGAGCGAAGTTGAATATGGTGGATGGCTTCCCTAGGTAGAAATTTTTCAAATAGTCTATTTCTTTGGTATCTACCAGGCTATTTTGATTATGGAACAAAAATAACATAAATATTAAAAACACAATCAAAGCCTTGAAAAGTAAGCAAAAGAACTTTGAGGGAAGCAAACAAAACAGATCAGTCTGACCCAGGAGAAAAAGCTGTAGTCTCAAAGCGTCTATTATTGTTAGAAAATTATTCCACAGATGAGATTTTAAAAAGATCAGTTCTTTTTCCACAGAATAGGCATAACTGAATATTTACTTCTTTTCTTGAGTTCTTGAGGAGTGGCTCATTTAGCATGCGTAGTCTGAAAGCCAAGTCCTTTTGTGATGTAATTTCAACTGGATTGCACATGGGAGCCAGAATGCATCAGTTTAATGGAGTTAGAGAATAATATGATAGTTTTGATTTTTGCTTTGGCTGAAGGAAGCAGTTCAGAAGGATACCTCAGCCGGTTGTTTTTGCCTTAGTTTATTGACATTCCAGCCACCTGACCTCGCACTTCCATTGAGCAATTCTGTATTAGACTGATGCCTCAGTGTGGGGTTTTCCATGTAAGACTTTGGGCTCCCACACATACTGGAGTTTTACCTAAGCTACGAAACCATTTTAAATGTTGGATTTAGAAAGGCTTATTTCTCACATGGGCTAAATATGGTTTACCTCATTGCTGTGCCCCTCGTGTAGAATATGCATTCTTAGTTTGTAGTGACAAGTGAATCTTTATTTTGCAGAACTTGTTTTTCAAACCCTTGCTCCTAAGCTGTCTGTTAGTCATGTAGCCCTTGAATGTGAGACAGGTCTTTGTTTCAGGAATTTTTGAAGTTTTATGTCAGCTTGCAATAAAATCTAAATCTCAGAGAGCTCTTCAGTGATTTGTAGAATTAGATTTTGAGAAGAATTGCTCCAGTACTGCTGTCTTCCATATGACCCTGCAATTGATTCCCTGGGCTGTTGGGCCTTCTGTGTGAACGAACCCAGACACGAGATTGATGTTGTTTTGGGGTAGTATTCTCATGACATTATCTGCTTTGGGGAATGTGCAAATAGAGAATCAGACCCTAGAGAAGGAAGCTGAGAACAAGTGGCTTAGGTACAATCCACAGAAGACTGAGGTAATATTATTTGCATGAGAAGGTACCCCCAAAAGATGTCTAATAGGGTGAGAACGTATGTTTGCAATTGAGGCTTGTGAATCACGTTCACCATCTGAGGTGTCATGCATTGCTAAATAGCAGCTATGGCCGAGGTTTTGTTTCATCTTTTTCTCTGATTTGTGCTTTGCAGGAAGGCTACAGCCTTGAATTTTGATTTTCCTTGTCCTCTGTTTTCCACTGGTGGATTAGGGGAGCGTACTCTAAGGCTATATTTTATTCAGTGTTTCATGTGTTGTAGTCGTTGGGCCTGTGTTCAGGAGTGCATGTGTTCATTGTGTCTATGAATTACTTTCTACACAGTCTAAAGTGTTGACAGGTTTTGTAAAACATGATGGCTAGGCTGTGGCTGCTTGGGAATCTGTCCGCCTCTCTGCCCTCTGCTTTAGTCTGTGAATTTGCTCAGGTAACAGCCATGGTTTGGACTGAAAGCAGGAGAGCAAATTCAGGTCTTTGCTTCTGGAACTCATCCGAGCCTTCAGCTACTCCCACTTTGGATATATTAATTTCTCGGCATTTTGCAAAGCACGACTTGTTTGCAGGCTGTTGTATGCTCCTGACTTTGCCTCAATCCAAGATCAAAATTTAATTTCTTTTACTTCTCAGTAACTGCTGAGTGTAAGGATTTGAAGACCCAATTTAGGCTGTATTGAAAGAAAGATTTCTTTATTGGCAGTGTTACAGGAGTAGAGAAAATTGTTAAATAAAAGGCAGTGCCTCACATCCCATATAAAAATAAGCGTGACTGAAGTGTATAACAAAAAAAGTTTTCTCAACTTGTTCCTAATTCTATGTTGCAAAATGTGACTTAAAAATCTTACACGAAAGACAAAATATCCTGACTTACACACAACTGTTTCCTTGGGAAGTTAAGTATTTCTGTCTGTGGATAGCATGAATTTAGTGAATATAATCCATGAGCTCTAGCAGGTCATTATATATGTCTCAATAAGGAATTACAACAGCTTCCATCCTAGATGAAGTAGTTTAAACTGGTAGTAGTATCATAAGACACAGAAAGCTAGTAAATGGATGGTGCTAGTATGATGGAGTGCTCTTGCAGTTGCAGCTTTATCTTTGAAGACTGATATTACATTAGGGAATAACTTTAACTTGCCTTTTTTATTGCATTTCAATTGTGATTGAAATATCAAACTTAGCTTTCATTTAACAAATTTTTTTTGAGAATGGCTTGATTAGTCTATATTTAAGTGTAAACTGATTCATCTGGGCTGGAAGCTTAAGAACAGAACAGATAGACTTGACTTCTCAGGGAGGGTAAGGACTCTTGAGCTTTCCTGCGAGACACAGTTGCAATCGCGCAACCTTCTCCTTCAGTCAGATTGGGCTGTGTCAGGCCCCAGTGAAGGAAACTAGTCAAACTGTTTTATCCTTTCCTTTCTGTCTCTGGGTAACTGGCATGCAAAGCTTCCAGCAATTTTCTTCTGCTGAGTGGTCAACTCTTTTTACATGAAGCATCAGAAGCCTGGCGATCTACAAACCTTTGAGAGCAAACTGGGGAAAGCATGTTTGTCAGGCAAGTTTTATCCATTGAGCTGTGTTATTTTAAACAGTGGTGCTATGATTTAATCACCAGGTCTCTGAAATTTGCCACTTTGGCCAGCTGTGTTTCTCAGAACCTCAACCTCTGGCTGAAAATCTGCTAGCTGGTCTAAACATACGAGTTTGAGCAGCTCTGCCGTGAGGATGTAAACTGGTGCCTCTTGAGTTCACATATTGTCCTCTATTTCTTAGGACTTCCGTGATTCAGTATTTTAACTGTCTACTTTCAAAGGTCAGAAAGTGCAAAATCTTGACTATGAGCACACTGGAAAGGACAAGACAGAATATCTAGGGTACTCTGAGGATGATGGTTATGAGGTTGATCAAATTCCTGCGGCAGTTTTCTCTAAAGAGCAGTGCAACATTGCTGATGTAGCAAATCAGGCACAGATCAGTTCTGCTGGGGACCCAGAGTTCCAGGTAAATAGGAAAGTTCAGATTAATTAAAAGAATCAAAATGAGGACTGTGTCTCTCTTGCCAGCCTCATTATGCCATTGCCTAATTTATATAGAGCTCTATTGTTTCCTCTCTGCATCAAATATGGCAGCATATCTCAGGATAAAAGCCCAAATACTGGGATTGCGCTGTTTTCTCCTCTCTGATAATAGACAGGAATGAGCAAGCAGAGTTCTCCCTCCAGCCTCCTGCATAATAGTGGGGAATTTCCTAAGTGCAAAGTTTTCAAAAAATAAGCATTTGAATTAGTACTTAGGGAGAGGTACAGCCTTGGTCTAACTGGATAGCTGTGAGAGATGCAGTAATGTTATATGCCCTGAGGGCACAGTGCTGGTGCTGATGGGGAGGGGTGAAGTCTCTCTTTGACTCCCCCACACCCTTTCAGAGCAAGTGTGTTTGTTTAGACATATGTTTGAATTTTAAAAAACGCTGAGCCTTTGTCAGAGCTGCTGGGCTCTCAACTTATTTGATAATCAAGTTGGATGATGCCTAAATATGGAGTCTGGTTCGTGGTGTTGGAAAAAAATACTGTTTAAAGACTCAGTGCTTCTGTCCTGTAAATGAAGCAGGTATTAATATTTACTATCCAGACAGAATTGCCAGGTTATTAATATCTGTAAAGCTCTTCTGTATTAAATATCCTTGTCTTTTTATATGCAGTGCTGTGTAAAGGAGACTCATATATATGGGAGCAGTGGCTTTCCCGGTGCAGCAGCCTGAGAGGTCCCCGGCCGGAGGTGCACTGCTAACGTGGCAGTGCCTCACATCCCATTGCTCTGCACATGTGACTGCTCTCTTTCTTCTAGATGCCTCAGAAGAGGAGGCTTTGGTACTCTCAAACTTTGGATGTGATGTTAATGTTGCACAGGCTTGACCAGGACTGTCAACGCAAATAAAATATTTTAAACTGGAAATTCATGTCTACATGTATTGTAAAATACAACTGAGTAAGATGAGAAATGCTCAGCCCTAAGGACAATAAAGGAAAGTGGTGTGTAATGGTATGCAGCATTCTTCAAAGTCTGGTTGAAACTTTGGACTGAGAAAGCCACAAGTGCAGCTTTTCTTTGTTGCCACTTTTGGTTCCTGCACTCAATGATACACCCAATCTTACTGCTATTTTTGATGCAGGTAGGATGATCTGTCCTTTAGATCTTTCATTTGGCAATTATTTGCAGGCTTTGCTATCTTTCCACATCAGCTTTTTTTCTTGGGAAAGAGGTGAACGTTTTATCAGCAATATTTCACGCTGTGAACTTAAGCTCTTGAATTTTTATCTTGTTTATTTCTTTGTTTCTTGCAGCTGGTGCTCAGGATAAAATTGGCTGGGCGTTTGGCTTGGGTTTGGAGAGGCTGGCCATGATCCTGTACGATATACCTGACATCCGACTGTTCTGGAGTGAAGATGAACGCTTCTTGAAGCAGTTTATTGTGCCTCACATTTGCCAAAAAATAAAATTCCAGGTAAAATAGCGTATATATAATAACAATTTTCTGTCAGTAAAAAGTACGTGTAATCCTAGAGAACAGAACATGATTAAAATTCTGTGCCATTAACAAATGAGATTTTAACATAGCAGCGTTCCAGCTATCATGATTCTCTGATATATTACAGCAAAATCCAGCTTTTGACAGTAACATTTTTTGAGCCAGGTAATGTGGGTTGCTGCTGATATCCAATGACTATCTTCCTTCTGAATATTAAGCATATATTTATATGCTGAAAATGAAATATTAAGCATGTATTTCACTTTTAAATTTGTCCAGAATAGGGATTGATTTAGGCCTGTGCCTGATTTGGGGATGTTCTTGAATCGGGGCTGTAATTCTGTATTAATATATAAATCTATTGGATGCTGACTGTTCAAATATAGTAATACATTTCCAGATTTTCTCTTTGTTTTTTTACTCTACATTCACTGAAGTCAGTGTGAGTTGCCCTGTTAGATACTGGGAAAATGCTTTGTGAACAGGCCTCTGTATCTTTAATATATCAGTGGGAATAGCTATTAATATGCAACTTTTCCATGCCTCGGCACACAGTAGCAGCTCTTTCCTCCAAGTGGTAGTGGGGCAGAGGGTGCAGACTCAACTTCTTCTATATTTCTCTTCTAACTCCTGTATTGAGGCTTCATGTGTTTTTTTTTTTTTTCCTAGCTGTCAACCTATCTCATTTGTAGTGGCAAAGTAATCAAACATAACTGAATTGAGTGGAAATGCTTCTTCCATAATATTCTTCAGCATGGGCAGAGGAAGGTTCAAGTCAGCTGGTTTTGCTAATCTATGGGCGAGTTGAGCTCATAGCTGCGTAGTAGAAGTACAGACTTGAAGTCTGTAGTACTAAAATGTTAAAATGCTTATTGCTACTGCCTTTTATCCTTTTCCTTTCTTGTCTTGTGAACAGCTTGTTTATGTTTTTTAAGAATTGAAAGTGTGAAAGGGGAAATGAACAGTGGTAATGCTCAGGTGATACTTGAGCAGTCTCCACATCAAACCAGTAGCAGCAACCGTTTTGGGATTCATGGCAGTTCTGGCACATCTTCACTGATAGAGTCAAAACTATATTTGGATCTTTTTGTCTCCTTTGCTATTGTGATACTGGCATTGGGATAGTCAGACTGCAGCTGTCACTTACAGAAAGAAGACTGCTTTTTGCCACGTTTCCTGAAGGTGATTCTGTCCAAATGGTTTTCCCTTTTCCTCTTACAGAAAGTTGTCCTTTCCAGGAAGGGATGCTCTTGTCCTCTTCATTTCGGCCCTGGTCTTTCTTGTTGGCAATATTCCTGGGGAGCATAGATTGTTAGTTGGTTAATGGTTTGCAATCCGATCTTTGATGAAAATAAGATGAGACTCTTACTTGCTTTAAAACTGTGGACCCAAGCCTCAAACTGGTATTAACAGTAGATTGGATATTTGAGGGAGAGCCCAGATTGTCAGGATGATGTTGTCTGATGTTGAGGGTGAGCCAAACAGAGGATGAGAGGGCTGCCTTCTGTCGGTTGCGTTGTCATTGCCATGTTCAGCTTCAGACAAAGTCAGGTATAGTTAAGTGATCTGAAGGTGACAGAGGCATGGGTTAATGTGGCCAGGTTCAGAGTAAAAAGCACGGTTTTTAGGAAGCTAGAAGTGAAAGAAATCTTTTTTCTTCTTTTTTCTTTTTTCTCTTTTTAATTGATGCTGGTGCTAGAGTATTAACTGAGCAGGGATCACAAGGAGCACATACATGGCTTTGCACTGTTTTGCTGGGTAACTGTCTGTGCCATCAACAGGAGAGTGGTGACAATGTCTTGATAAGTCTTTAGGCATTTCTTTGTGCTAGGCAGCATTGTTTTCACCTGGTCTTGGTTCAACCTGGTACAAGGGGAGAAGTTCTCCATGCAAGACTTCCAATAATCTGACATTTTAGAGATAATGATGAAACTGAGATTTGGCTGAAATGCATTTTTAAGTAATAGAATGGATCAGGAGGAATGAGGTAATAGGTGGGGGCTGTCAACTGCCACTGTGCTCTAAGCTGGACCAGACAGAAAGACTGGAGTTTTATTACAGGGCCATTAACTACTGCTATATCGTGTTAATGTGTTGGTAGTTTATCATAGCCCACGCAGTGAAAGGTGGAGAGATTGTGAGAATACAGGGTGTGGGAGAGGAGCAGCAGAGATGGAAAGATAGGTGAACAATTATTTCAAGTCCTTTCTTTCTCCGTTCTAAAGATGCATTCTGGCCAATGTTTTAGAAGCAGTTTTCTGCTCTGATATCAAGCCCATTTTATGAACTTTTATTTTTTTTTAAGCATCTTGGGTGTCCCATCTTCAGTTTTGGTAGAGTGATTATCCCTAGCCCTTAGTTTACATTTTTTAACTCTATCTCAGAATATAAAAGACTAAAGACAAGCTATTTTTTCTGTTTAAAAGGAAGCTTATATCCACCTTTCATCTGATATCTTACAATGAGTTTTTGAGCTCTGACCGTATATACTGACATTGCTTTTAAAAAGGGTTAATGACTCTTCAAATAAAAGCATTGCAGTCTTCAGTGCTGTCATTAGATCTTGGGTGATGGGAGTTAATAAGCCAATTTTTTTTCTCTTTTTTTTTCTCTTTTTTGAGCTATGCTGCAAAACCAAGTTAGCCGACCTTCTACACCTGTCTGCTCTCTAAAGAGTCATAATTAATGAATCGCATGGTTTATTCATACCATATTTGAAAAAAAAAAAAACTTTCAGCCTGATCTCACAACTGTCTTCCAGGGTTGATGCTGTAAAAAATCTTGATGGATATTAGAAAAGTGCCAGAATTTCTGCATAGAAGTATTTTTCAGCTGAACTGAACCAAGACAAACCAGATGTTTTCAGAGCCTTTCATTACACAGATCCAACCCTGCAGCCTCACAAGGGCCAGATAAATGTCCATCCTTTGCCTGCTTAACTGAGGCAGACCTCTCGACCTTTGGACATTCTCACCCCACTTCTTATAATCTGAATATTATGCACCAACACTTATATTTTTCTTCCTGTTCATTAGAATGTTCTTGAAATAGATGAACACTGCACTGAAAAGCAGTAACCTTTAGTAATAGCTGGGTTAAATATACTCTTGTTCAAAGATGGAGTTTAATTTGAGCATATTCTTAGGACTTAAAGTACATGTTTTGTGCCTTTTAACAGTCTGGATGTGTCAGGCCTTTTTCTGTCTCATCACAGTTGCTTAGGATATGCGTACAGGCTTTAGTAGGTCAAAAAGCTGCTGGGAGAAGCTGACAGGGCTGGTACCATTGTGGTTACTCAACACTGCAGTGTTAGAGTGCTTCTCCCCACAGATCAGATTATTGTGCTGGTCTGGATTATCTAAATCGCTCAAGCCATCATTTGACACAAGTCACTGCAGTATGGGGGATCAGAGGCTAGTTATTTGCCTTCAGTCACTTGTGTGTAGGGCTTCTTTCAGGCTATGAAATGAGGATGACTGAGAATGGACCGGGAAAGAGGGACTAAGCGCCTGCAAGGTGTGAGTTGTAGTAAAATAAATGGCTTGGATCCAATGTAGTACGCTGTGTTATATGTCTGCTCATCAGAGCTCTGAGCATACTTGCATGCAGTCGCTTTCTAATTCATGCTGAGCCAGCATTCTTACAAAAAAGATGTGTCCACAGGCTGACATCTCACAAGAAAAGGTACAAAAATGAAATGACGTTTAGGGAAGGAAGGCACTCACAGTTCATATGAAGTGCGGCATGCCCGGAGGTGTTGATTAAGACGAATGGGCTCTCTAGGCAGGATGGTTCCTGGGATCTCCATCATTTCACTGCCACAGCGAGCAGGCGGCATGTCCTGTCAATTGACTGCTGATGCATTCTTTTCTTGCAAAGTCACTTTCATTTGCTGGTGGCAGTAGTGACGGCAGCTGCTGCTGCTGCTATTTTAAATAATTATTTATTTTGATTGCACATGAGACTTGTGGCCCTGACTGAGGTGAAGCAGCGGCATGTTTATGTTGTGTTCTAAGGCAAGCACTGGTACAGAGAGAGTCTGGATTTAATTCCTAGCTGAACTGCAGACTCCCTGTGTGAAATTATAGGAGTTGCTTTCTCCTTCTTTTCCTCTGTAATATTCCATGATATCTGGAGTAACCCTCACAGTACTTTCTTTTCACCACTGCCTTCCATCATCTCCACAGGCTAGTCCTTCCTCAGATCTGCTGGCACATGCATTCTCTCCAAACTCAGTTGCTTCAAAATGACCTATGTTAGCTTCAATACTTGAAATAGTAGACTTTCTAAGCAGGACCAGTTTGATTAAGCCCAGACAGACAGAGCTCCAACAGCAGCTCTACTGGGAGACCTGAAGGGCTAGTAACCATTGACAGTGGGGTGAGGAGAGAGAGAGAGTTGACAAGCAGCTAGAAGTGGCGCTCAGTTCACCTGCCACACAGCTGTAGCCACATGGGGTCCATGGTCTTAACGTGTGGAGACTGTCTCTGCTTTGAAAAGTAAACAGTCAAGGTCAGCAGAAGATGAGAAAAAGATCTCTTCTGAAAGGTGTGGTTGTGTAGGAGGAAGTGATTCATTATACAAGAAAGGAAATCATAGTGGGCTGTTCTCACTCCTGTGCATACCAACAAGCAGTGCTAGTTAGCAAAGGCTGGAACTTCCTCGCACACTCCTGTTTCCCTTTGCTGAGTGTGTTGTATGAAATTGGCCTCTCTTTTAATGGGGAGGGATTTATCCAGTAATCCAGTTTGCAGCATTTGCTACATATGTGAGACCTCTTGTTGTTCACAAAGTTACACCGTACCACTTTTTAACCTCACTGTGCACTCTTCGGTTTACTGAGATAGTCATCATCCTCGCGCATCTTTCCTATGCATGTACCTGGTTGTTGCTGGGAGATAGCTAGCTTGTCCTGAAGCTTTAGGAGATGCCAAAAATAAATGCAGTGGCAGATCCAAGGAGAAACTTTTGCAAAT